AGGTCATGATCCCAGGGTCCTGGGATCGAGCCCCGCATTGGGCTCCCTGCTCAGTGGGAAGCCTGCTTCTCCCTCTCCCACTCCCCCTGCTTGTTTTCCCTCTCTCGCTGTGTCTCTCTGTCAAATAAATTAATACAATATTTAAAAAAATAAATAAATAGAAGATAAAAACTTTTCACGTAGGTCGAATTGGAAAAAGCAGCACTAAATTCTACTCACAGTTCTGCCAGGGTTTTGAGTAAGGTCCTATTCTGACTATCTTTCTTCAGGTGATCCCGAACTGCTTGAACGATTACTGAATTGTTGTACAGATCTCCAGGCCATTCTCGGATCAGAGAGGCAAAACCCTAAACAGAACAAGAGAAGAACACTCCTGAAATAGAATAACAATCCAAATAGTTTAAACAATGCCTAGAAGTATTCATGTAAATAGACAAAATAATTTTATGATTAAAACTCTGGCATGAACAGATCACCAATTTTCAGACTCTGGTTTGGGGGTGGCGAGGGAGGCAGAGAATCACTGCGCACGAGTCCCCATTTACCGTTCCTGGAAGTGGGTGGCGTCGGCCGCGTCTGCCCTTACGTATTTGATGAAATGCACCAGTAAGAAAGGCCCCCTGGTTCTTCCATAAAGCCATGCTGCACACACACACTCTGGCTTTGACTTGCTCTGGCCTCAGTCCGGACTAGCTATAACATTCGGACAACATCTTGAATATCCTGAAGATACTGTCCAAGTCGGTCACTCCCCCCACCGACCTTCTGTGCCCTTTGGGTCTGGCCCCCCGTGTGCACAGTGCCTTGTTTCCACAGTGGAGTCGCTGGTACCCCACCTTCAACAAGTTACCATCTTTGTCCTCTTTCCTTTTTTTTTTTTGGTCCTCTTTGCATTCTTGCCTCTGAACCTAGTTTTGTTTGGGGGATTTGAGACTTTGGCTGAAGTCTTATCCCCTAGCTGGATCTCAAATTTTGCGGTTCTGATAGAAAACACTAGATCCTCCAATTGGATCCTCTTTCTCTCCTATGGTTGATTTTTGGCCAGGATCCTGGGCAGCCTCTGTCCTCCTGATTCCCGACTTTAGAGCTCATGTTTTGTAACTCAAGAGTATGGTAGAGCAGTTTACTTACTGATTCTTGGCAGCTTTTAGAGAAAAACCTTAGATGTATTCAAGACAGCAAACAGAAGTAAAAATCTTCATGTGATCAAAAAAAATTGTATTATTAAGTATCTCAACTAATGCTTTAATAAACTACTATGAATTCAGTTAAGTGACACTTAAGAAATGAAAATAGTGCGGTGGAATGTGCTTCTGTAAAGTACCAAGATTTGGTAAAAAGAAAACCACAAAGAATCAGGAATATAGTCTCTATTAAAGTCCTACCCAAGCAGCCCTGGGAAGGAAGGCAAGAGACTAGAACAATGGGCAACACGTTTTCCATTCAAACTGTAACCTTCCCATGTAAGAGCATGATTGCAGTTTGATTTGAGAGACGTGGGGAGGGGCATCACTAAGTAAAGATGATGTTATTTTTTTTAAAGATTTTATTTATTTGTCAGAGACAGAGAGAGAGAGCATGAGCAGGGGGAGGGACAGAGGAAAAAGAAGACTCCCCACTGAGCAAAGAGCCCGACGTGAGCCTCGATCCCAGGACCCTGGGACCATGACCTGAGCTGAAGGCAGACGCTTAACTGACTGAGCCACCCAGGCGTCCCAAAGATGACGTATTTTATAAAACCAATGAATCAGAACATTAAAATGTTCTTTGAGCCAAAACGATACTTTGGATCAGGTTTCTATTTTAAGACTCTGTAACGTGTAAGATAAAAACGTCTGAAAAAGATTCGCATCCAAACACTGGCAGCTCTCAGTGGCCCTGAGACCAGGAATCATACTGTTTGGGAAGAAGGAGGCTTGGCTCCATTTTCTCTTTTCCCAATTTATGCGACAGCCTGGCAGCACCACCGACTCCTAATACAAAGTAAGACAAAACGACCGGTCATACCATGTGACAAGAACATGATGCCTCCAACGTAAACCGACATAAACACTTACCACATCTCACGTCAGGCTTTTCTCTGCTAACCTGGCGCCGTACGCCCTTGAATAAATGTGCTAAGAAATACTGATGCCATCAACCTGTGGTCTTTTTTATTCATCAGAGGACACGGTTTATCAGGGAGCTGTTACGACCGAGTGGTGACGTCAGAGAACACCTCAGTGCCCATCACAGTAAGTACAAGGTTAAAAGGTATTCACTGAATGAAATGCCATGGCAATTGTCCCGCTTTTAATATGCTTATGTATCTGTCATTAATAATAGGAAACAAAGTTGAACTCTCTGTGGCACTCGGGGGGCGTCATCAGTTGGCGCATGGTACTTAGAAAGTAACGCTGCTAGGTTGTAAATAAAAAGACGAAGCTATCTGCATTTCAGTAGAAACCCCACACCAGCAAGTCAGGAAGCATCATTACCTCCAAGTAAATACTGCCACTTCATATCTTTTTAGGAAGAAAAGAAAACTGAGAAGCCAATATTCTAGAGAAGTACAGCTGTTTTTCTAAAATCTGGCCTTTAGTGCTATTTAGTAGCACACATAATATGTGATCAAAAGTGTTAGGCAGAACACTTCCCTGGTCAATTATGTGACAATTTAATGCAAAGTTAAACACGAAACCAAGAATGATGGAAGCTAAACGATTTATAAGAGCTTAGGACAACAAATTATTTATACCTTTTTTTATTATGTTATGTTAGTCACCACACATTACATCATTAGTTTTTGATGTAGTGTTCCATGATTCATTGTTTGCATATAACATCCAGTGCTCCATGCAGAACGTGCCCTCTTTAATACCCATC